GACGAAAATAACTTGTCTTATTAAATTTTCATCAAAGATCAAGAGAGGCCAATGTAAGAGATTTCAACAAGGAATTAAAAGAGATTAAAAGAGTAGAGAAGCACTGATAGTTTGTTTAATACTGTCTGGTGAGAGTGATAAATGGGGAACAGATTAGAACCTAATTTATGAACTGTTAATGAATACTAGACTAATTATTTTGTTGATCCTGATCACCCTATTTTTCTTGCTTTGGGGCAAAAAGCTTCACCTTTCAGTTCATTTTATACTCTGTGGATCCTCTAAATTGTTGTATTATACTCAGGTGACCGTTAAGGCCCTTGGGCCTCTTGTTTTTAAATGTCACAGCAATGTCGACAGGGATAAATTCTCTTCAAATTTTATGCATTTATTCTAAGTGATCCATGGATAGTTATTTTGAAATTTTATATCTTAATAGATGACTACATTTCTGAAAAAAATAATATTCATTCAACCATTTATTTTATGCTTAATTGTGAAAATTATAATCCTTTGAAACGTTCATTTTTTTTCAGAATAAAAAAAAAAACAAATCAAAACTTAAAAAAAAGGGAAATAGAGCACTCTTTTTCCTAAGAACATTTTTTAGATGATCATTAAATTGCTTTGACTTTCAGAGAACCAAAATTTGAATTTTAAAATCCTTTTTTATAATCGCCATTATCATTAACCTTTTATTCTAAGGTGGTCACATTGATGGACACTTTTGCGCACTTCCAATGAGGAAGGGATTCTGATAAATCCAGCTTTGTCTAGGATGAGATCGTATCTCATCTTTTGCTTGATAAATATGATTCAGTCTAACACTCGTAGATGTGGTTTATAATTTTTATGTACATTTTTGCTCACCTATTCAGCGTTTCGAAACATTGATAAAGAATAAGAGACTTATTAATCTAAAATGTTTTTGTAAATGCATAGCTACTTCTACGAAAAATTGTTCAAGTTCATGTTGAGTCATGCGTTGTTGTTTTCTATGAGACCTGTTTACACCATTTATAAAAAACCCATTTTATTTTACTACTGCTTCATCATTATTGAAATATTGTCGTAACGTAAAAAAAAAACCCAGGGACACTATTGCAAAATTGATCTATTGACAAGAATGTGAATTGTACTAAAAATTTCTCCAATGTCATTGCCAACATGGCATATATATAGATAATTTTCCCTTATTCATCTGTCTATGAATATGTTCTATGCTGGACCACAATGTAATGCTATCCTGTCTAAATAAAGTCTTTATTTATTATTATTCATTATTTTTAAAAAATTCTTTATGGTATTGATGAAAGTTAAAGTGATATTTGAAAGCAATTTATAAAGACCAGATTTTTTTCAGATTATTGGGAGTATGGCTGACCATACTTTTCAAAATGTAAATTCTGACTGGAGATTGAACTTTGCAAAGAAAATGAAACTATAATTTTTACAAACTCCAAATGCCATTCTTATTTATTTATTTGCAGGGAAAATGGATATCAGCAATAATTGTTTTTCTGCTCTCTCTCTTTCCCATAAACTGTCAACATTGTACACACAGACTGAGTGATGACGAGTTTGAAAGACAACTGCATCATTTGCATTTTGAAGCAAATGGAATTGAGATTTTGAATAGCACTTTTTCACAACCAATAGATAATTCCCGGTGCTTAAATCCATATTTAGACGCGTCACCAGTATTTCTAAACGAACGCTCGCTTTGTCCTTGGGATTTGGTTGAGGACGTAAACGAGAATCGATATCCCCAGGTTCTTCATTTTGCTCGATGCCGGTGTACGACGTGTATGGATGGGATGGAGAACTATGAATGTAAACCGGTGTCGTATCGAATACCTTTGCTTGAAAAGAGATGTGTGAGTGGTGTTTACCAGTATGTAAAAACCTACTTAGATCTACCCGTTGGTTGTACTTGTACAAAGCCAAGAGTAATCCAAGTGTCAAAAAGAGTACAGAACCTGTACATTCCGAGAATGGTTTCAAAAGCACTGGGACGAAAATACAAGTATATATACTGAGCGTTGTTAAATTGTTTCTTCATGCAATAGAAACTGGTCAGAACTGATGTTGTAATTGATTGGACACTGTGTATGTAAGTAAAATGTATCGAAGAAGCATTCAAAAGCAAATATATAAATATGTATTTTAGTAAGGAAAAAATATATACAAGTTTTCATTCAATGTTGAATTAATTTAAAATAATCTTTAATAAATAAAAAAATTAGCTCGTATAGAAAATCCTAGAAGTGATAAATATTTTCTAGCCATTTTTATGTACGAATCATTACCTTTTTGTTTATTTCAATTACGGTAAGAAAACATTCATTTGAAGAAAGCAGTCAGAAAGTGTTTATTATATTATTATATTATATTATTATATTATTTAATTAGAAAATGTTCTTGTGTTTTAAAAATATTAAATAAAAATATTCTTGCTCATTTTAGTTCTGGTATATAAGCCATGGTTGAAATTGGTTCAAAGGCAATCATTTTTGTTTCTAAAACAGACTACTCATTGGTATGGGGTGTTTGATTGTTAAAAGAAACGAATATTAATAAAGTTATTGCAGTCTAGATGTTTTATTTTGAATATGTCCAAGTTTCTTAAATATTATGTACACCGGAATAAGATGATTACACATTATCCATAAGAAAAGGGAGAAAAAGGCTTGATTAAATATGACGAGAATATTACATTTGGGGATACACACATATTTTATGATAAGGAGATAAATAATAAAAATCCAATGCTCATTTTATATTTAACAATAGAAAATGCCAGATTTAGAACTAAAAAGTAATCACAAAATTTGATTAATTGTGAAATTTAGATAATGAGAATTTATGAGCATGTAGGTAGTGCACTAATAAATAAATACAGAAAAAGAATTTTTTTCAATTTCTATTTGAAAGTGATTGTAGAAAAATCAAAAATATTAGATAAAATAACAAAGATTGATTATTTAATTTTATTGAAGCTTTTATTTGGATGCTTTTAAATGAAATTAAAGAATGAAATACAAAATGTTCAAAAGAAAAATTCTCAGGCTCAAAATTTTATTGAGGATCCCTTTCTTACTCGTTGAGCTCAAGGACTTTCAAACACGAAATGTTTTTATTAAGGGCTTAAGATACTAAAACAAACTTTTAAATCGAAATTTGAAAAAAAAAACAGTTTGTACAGATAGGTTATTCAAAAAATATATTCATCACGAAGTTTTCCTTTAAAGCTATCTTTATTATATATATCTAAGAATATGTAGAAAAATACCCAAAGCAACAGATAAAATGGAGATTTTTCTGTGAATACACTTGACATTCTCTTATTTATGACTGAAATATTTCATTATCCAGATAATATTAAAAAATATATATATTTGGGATGGAATGGAAGATAAAGGATAGTTTTAAAGGAAAACTTCATGGTAAATATGTTTATTTGCAATAAGCCCATACAATCTGCTTAAACAAATTCTATATCATTATCTTTTTGAGTATCTCATGTCATTATATTTATATATATATATATATATATATATATATATATATATATATATATATATATATATATATATATATATATATATATATATATATATATATATATATATATATATATATACACACATTATAATAAAACATGAATGGACATGTTCAGTCAGGAGTTTCGGGTTTGAAGGAAAGAGAGGGTATGGATAACAAAGAGACATTTGTACATAATGGATAACCAATTGATATGTATTATATACAATATCCCCAACAGACATTTACAAGGAACAATGATCAAAAAACATATTTTCGCATACTCGTTTCAAAGAATGTGATATTATTGCATCATGACGGGTAGTATAATACCTTTCTTTATATAAATAACATAATCAACGTACTTTAATGATAGACATAGAAAGGGTGTTGCCTTTGAGTTCGTTATTGATATCATGTTTCATGATTTACAATCCTTTATCACATTAAAAGGAAACATGCCACTCAGTAAGTACAATCTAAATGCCACGTATACTATGACATTTTTGTGTAATTTTAGATACAGGTATTAAAGTAACTGAGAGTTACATGTAGTCTTACAACGATATATTATTGCTACAAGTAAGGTAGAAAGTTCCTCAAAAAAGCAAAAACATATTGAAAAAAATAACAAAATAAACATGAATTTCAGAAAAAATAAAGAAACAAACCATTAATAATAATAATAATAATAATAATAATATATATATATATATATATATATATATATATATATATATATATATATATATATATATATATATATATATATATATATATATATATATATATATATATATATATATAACAAAGAAAGCCACAAAATGGAATAATAAGTAAACGCTTGTTAGTAGAATACAAAGTAAATATAGAGGTCATTTACCGAAATATCCATCGTTTGAGGGAAATCTTTATCGTCACAGTTAAGAAAGAACTTATGTAAGTTCAAATGTTATGTGCCAGACATAGATCAGACATAACTTTAAAGCAAAAGTCAAAGAAAATACAAATATGCAAAAAATTATCTTGATATGAAAAGATTTGTGATTAATCTCTAACGCAATGTACTTTTATTTCACCAGCAATTTTTACAATATTCCCAATTCAGCATTGTTAAAACCACATGTAGGTACATTTGCTTTGAAATTTACATTAAGGATTAATTTTTTTGATTTTTCGATTTCCTGGACACACTAACAATCTGTATTACTTTTTAGGAACAAAAGAGCAATTCTATATGATTGTACAAAGACAGAAACTGACAATTAAGTTGACATTACATAGCTTTCAACAATCTTGTTTAAAGTCAGTATTTAGCAAATTTATAGTTAATATGATAACCTTGTTTGCAATACAATTTGTTGCGTCGATCTTTGGTTTATCTGATCAATACAGAGAGATGACTACGAGTGATCACTATTCGTCAGCTTCACCTTTGTCATTATGTTTTCAGATTCTTACATATGAGAAAGCGAGAGATAGGTTCGATTCAGTTCAGTGCTTTGCTTCTGTTCCATAGTTTGTCTGACATCACAATACATAACATTCCCCTGATCACTGATTGATATTTTTTTGCCAGGCTTATTAGGAATGTTTAGATCCTTTTGATCGATATACCCATCGCTTTCCTGTGAGGGAGTATTTGTATAGGCAGCATTGACCTTGCTCATTGGGAGAGTAATGGCGGGTAATATCGTATATCCTCCTTCATTATCCTTTTCTTTATTTTTATCGGAGAGTGTTCTAAGGTACTGGTCATTATTCTCAGCTTTATCTTTCAAGGACAGAGGTTTCAGATAAGCATTGTTTTCAGTGGGCTTTAGATATTCTTCATCTAAAGTTTTATGTGTGTCATAGTTATCGGCGTACGAATACTCGGGACCTTCCTTTATCTCATCGTAAACTTCTTCGTCTACGTGTTGATGATTGTGCGGAAATGACCTGTATCTGTTATTTCTTGTACTCCGTGGAAGCTGGTCTGATATCATATCCTCTGAAAATATTTCTTTTTCTTTCTTTCTGTAAAAAGGACATTGATTTGAAATAATCCAAAATTATAAAAAATAAAAAAGAAATGTATGAGAGCAAGGCATGTTTATATTATTAGATATCAGAGGCTGGTAGATTTAACCAACATCAAAAACATCAAAACATGCGACTTTTCAACACTTTATACATCCATTCACCACGAATTAAAAATGCAACTATTGAAAAACAAGTTGATAAAAAACAGCTATATCAGCTGTCTCGTTTAAATTCATCATTTCGCAAGTTCTTTAGTCGAAACAATGACCTTGTTAGCAAATACAGTCTATCATTAAGTCGAATGCTGACTGACGTTTTTCATACTAATTGTTAGGCCACATACTGAATTGTCTACGGATTTTCCGTTTTCCCGATCACAAGAAGCACACGGCGGATGTGACCGGTCGACAGGGGATGCTTACTCTTCCAAGGCACCTGATCCCACCTCTGATGTTTTAGAGGTCTTTGTTGCTCTGCTCCCGATGTGTATTGTTTCAATGGACTTTTGAGCTTGAATACTTTTCGTTATCTCCATATTTCACTATAAGAGGCGTAGGTGTAGAAGAAAATCCTAAAAAATATTTCATAGGTTCTTTATTTTACTTACTAATTACCTACCTACAGACAACTATAAAGATACCAGCAATAAACAAGAGGAAGACGAGACCTCCAGGTACCCCAGCAATTAGCGGTAAGTTCTCTAAAATAAATTAGAGGGATTAATCTACCAAATATTCTTTAGAAATAACGTTACTAGTATCATGATTTTGTTTTTATTCTTACAATCATTTTTATTTCTCATTTCATTTTTAAAGCCATTTCAGAAGCTCAAGACAAAGTTATAAAGGTAAAATTTGAGTGAGAATTTTGAAAAAAGAACGTTTTCGATTATTATGAAAATTCCAAAATTTCTAAAAAAAAAAAATAATAATAATAATAATAATAATAATTTTAAAAAATCGGTTATTGAAAATATTTCAAGAAATAGATTCATCATAAAGCTATTTTGCATCTCTCTTTTTATTGATCTAGGAAACACCTAACGCTCTTTATTGCACCAAACCTGTAAAAAAGTCGGGAGGCTGAGTCGTTAGGGCACTTGCTGTGATATCAACAGAATTAGATGTCGAAGGTAAGAATGACTTCTGTGTTGTGCTTATAATTTGTGAGGGCGTAAAGCTACAGTCTAAGACAGAAATATAGAAATAGTATTAATAACATTTGACATCATGAAATTGTCTGAAGTATTTTTTAATTTTTTTTTTGTTTGAGATATAAAATACGATCATGAGATTAAAAAATTAAGTGTGATTTATATTCGTATTTCTATGTATATTTATGATAAAGTAATAAATTTGCGTGATTCACATCCACGTGTACAAGCGTTAAAATATGCGTTTAATATTTCGATTTGAACCTCGCTGACAAAATAAATTTGTTGTCTATAGCTGCACTTTGTCGTAGAATTTAAGTGCCAAAAAATCTACGTTTTTAGAATTCAAAGTTAGTTTGTACTTATTTAAATCTAAGAGTATGTATTAAAAATATTCGTTTATTTACTTTCCTTGCTTGTGATACCAGTCCACGTTCAATATACAGGAAACATCAAGCTTTTGTAAAAATACGACGGCCGTTCACAAGTAATGCAAAATACGGTTAATCATAATAAATGTAGAAGCAGTTCATTTTATTGTTTCACCCTAGAAAACATCTATTTAAAAACTTCTAATTACCGAAACCGCATATTTCCCCAACTGTCTTCGCAAAGAAATTCACTTTTAAAGTAAGCATGGTCACTTCAATGAACTTAAAACTGTTTTAGAAAGGTTTCTGCCAAGAAGATGAAAATGAAGGCTCATGAATGAGGGCTCACTTGAATACTGCGATTCATTCCAAAAATCGCTGAAGAACCAAAATAAAGGTAGAGCTTTGATATCTCGAAAGACTAGTCTTTAACGCAATGCAGTAGTAGGTGGATTAGAAAATTCAAAAAGTGGAAAGGGGAAGATCGCAGTCGAACTGGTCGATCGAGATGTGTGGGGACACCAAAAATATAGATGCTCTGAGTAACACATCTGAAAATGCCAGATTTACAGCGAGAGACGTTGCTAAGCCACTTAAGTTTCATCATCACAATAGTTGATTGAGTTCTGACAAAGCAAATAAAAATAATGTCAAATTAGTGCATTATTTCCTTACAGATGTCTACAAGAAAACACGCATTAAATGTTCCAAGCTCTATTAGATATAACAATTTCAAAAAAGAAGTTAATATGATAAACCTGCGTTATGGGTGACGAAGCATGGCTGCACTATTTATAGACGAAATGGAAGTTCTATAATAAAATGCGGAATCAGAGAGAAAGCTGTCGTCCTTTTTTGCAAAGAGAAGCCATAGCTCCTACAGGTCTTATACGGTTTTTGTTTTACTGGAGAGGTCAAGCAGTATACGTACCTACACCCAAAGGAAGGACCATAAAGGGTAGCTTTTGTTTTAAATTGTATTGAGAAAAGATAAGTGAGTTTTCCGTAACGGACGTTCAAATACCAGTAACCATTTTCTTGTAGCTGACAATAGGTATTATTTCCACCAATAATACTGACAATTTGCTGTAAATAGGAATAGAAATGAGATGAAGGAAATATTGAAGAAAGGAATTTTCAAGAGCTTAGCCATTCTCGGTATTTGCTAGATCTCAGTCACAGTGATATTTTTTTATTCCAGAAACACAAGAAAACCATCAAAAGGAAAAACAGTACTATTTAAGATCAGGTGTGGGGAGTACTTTTATGTTACTTTCAAAAGAGCATGCTGAGGTGTTCCGGATATGGGTAAAGAGAATTGAGACATGTATAATGGTTAAAAGAGAATACTTTGATTGATTGATTGATTGTATGCTGTTTTACCGTCCATTCGAGAATTTTTCACTCATATCGAGACGTCACCATATACCGGTGAAGGGCTTCAAATTTTGACCTTTACTCGGCACTCAGGGCCATTGAGCAGTGAGGGCCTCGGTTTTTTAGGGCTCATCCGAAGGACCCGCAGCTTTCACTTCAAAGTGCCGAGCGCATGGCGAAGGAACAGTTGCTACCCATTTTTTATCGACTTAGGTCAGTCGCGGCCGAGATTCGAACTCTCGACCTCCCGATCACAGAGCGAGCGCTCCACCGACTGAGCTACGAGAATACTTTGAAGGATTAAATACAAAAAGAAACTGCTTTTTGTAATTTTCTTATTTTTTGATGACTTTTTGCATTAATTTTGAACGACCTTCATTATGAACTGAATTATGTTTATTCAAAAATTTGCATGAATAAAGCATGTGCAAATATTTCACAAGGAGACACGTGTGCAAAATCTGGGAATGTTTAAATTTGTCTTTTTTACTCAAAAACAAAATATGATGTTTAAAATTACGTTTCATTTCTCCAACAGTAAAACTTTATTGTTGAGATGTTCTTGTTTTTTTAATTTAATATAACAGCAATAATTTTCAATAATCGGGGGAAGTGTTTTGTGTACTCAAATTCAAAATCAAACTTACTAAATGCATCGCATGGACTCATTAGAGGTTCAAAAATCACAACATCATCTATACCAATAATGCTGTATATTCCACCTTTTCTAGCATGTACCTTGATCTTAAAAATAATATTAATATTATTACAATGATCATGTGCCTTTTTAATATGCATCTCTCTCTCTCTCTCTTTCTCAATTATATATATATATATATATATATATATATATATATATATATATATATATATATATATAGATATATATAGATATATATAGATATATATATATATATAAGGAATGGCAACGAATATTCGAACATTAGGGATGGCAACGAATATTCGAACATTCGAATATTCATTCGATGAGTTGATATTCGAATATGAATTTAAGATTCGAATATTGGGTGTTTTTCAGATTTCATAAAAAGAAGTACTGTGGTTAATAAATTTTGATTTTAATAGTGCTGGAATTATCCCTGTTTAATTTACTAGCGATCAATTTCAATCGCCTGATTTCTTTCACTACTTTCTTATCTTATAGAATTACTAAATTACATGTTTTTTGTTTTGAGTAAGGTGTTAAAGAATTGAACAATAATGCTTTATGTATAATACAAAACGTACTTTCATAGTTTTTATTAGTTAGATACGATCGGATCTAGAATCGAGGACAACAAAATGAAAACTTTCTTAGAATGTCTAAAAGACGTGAAGAGTATACCTATCAAAATAAATTTAATTGATCATTGAATGAATGTCCGATAGACTTAGTCTGTAATTAATATTGTAAACGGCTCAATTTCAGAATAAATGTGTAAATTACTTGATTATATCGGGTTGTACATAATCCTGAATTTTATATTCAGTATCGGGGAATTAGTTAATTACCTAAGAAAATTGTCTATGGAAATATTTGTTTATATTTTAAAAACATTGTATCAAAGGTTATAATCATACATATATCTATCATTAGGCAGATAATTGTAATTTATTACACGTATTGAAATCTGAACATTACATGTATACCGTTACGAATATATCTTGCACATAGGCGTCGGAACCGGGGGGGGGGGGGCTAGGGGGGCTTAGCCCCCCTTTTTTTTGCAAAGATAGACATAATATAGGCATTGAAAATTGGGGCTTACCTTTTTTCATTGGTTTAGCCCCCCCCCCCCAACTTTCAATTAGCCACCCCACTTTCAATTTGCTTCCGACGCCTATGTTGCATTTGGTAAGACGAATGGTTCCACAGTTGGAGCTACTATAAAATATAATACACATGTTTCATTTGATAAATTATACTTTTCTACATTTAAATCAATTATTAATTTCAAATATTGACAAATATCAAATGGAATTTCTTATTGTACACCTGCAAAAGTCTTCATACAATTTTAGAATACCTACACCAACAGATTTTATTTATTTTATCGAATATTCGAATATATTCCAATACTTTCATTGAATATTCGAATATGAATTATTGACAAAATTGACATCCCTAATATATATATATATATATATATATATATATATATATATATATATATATATATATATATATATATATATATATATATATATATATATATATATATATATATATATATATGCTGTGTTTTTCAACTAAGCCAACTGTGAAATTGATTAGAATGCCATTTTCGTGTATACTCACGCATAGAAATATACACGGAGAAACTCGCGCTAAAGTGACGTCACAATTAGGCTACAGATACAGAGACGTTAATAAAAATGTAACGATATAGGGCAGCGAGATATTCAAACATTGAGTATATTTCTGGTGCTTTTAAACATGTAAAATGTAAATGTAAGGATTGTTTTTAGTTTAGTGTGAAATATTGGTGTGTAAATCACACAGACTTGCACGAAGATATATTTATCATGAAGCTCCAGCACGCTTCATGAAATCCTACGTGACAAGTCTGTGTGATTTACACACCAATAACTCACACAAAACATAAAAATTTCCTTAAATATATATTAATTACATACATAGTAAAAGATACAGGTTTTTTCGCATATGCTATTTGCCTGACGTTAACGTTACAATAACCGTATCAGTTTCCAGGGCTAATTTGGATATGCAGGGCTGAAACTGATATATATCACACCCCTTGTAGATACAGTACTTATGACAGTGCACCTATTTTTTCGTTCTCTTGATTCTAAATTACTGTTCTTTGATATAAAAAGCTAGTCAGTGATTATTTTTTTGTGTTTGCTCCACTAAAAATATTATAAACATAGTAAAACATACCCTTTCCCACATCACATCCTGTATCAGCCCGGGGCGAAGGCGAAGGTGTCTCATATATATATATATATATATATATATATATATATATATATATATATGATTTTTTTTAAACAAAACATTTATTTTTTTTTACTACAGTATATAGTTAGGATCGCGCACATACTGTGGATAGTCGATCTAAGGGTAGTTCAGTGCTAACACAATGCCATTCATTCCCTTGATCTCCCGCCTGTGCGAACAAAGGCTCTTCATCCTCAGTGACATTTACCCAAAGGGATCCCATTTGTGATCCCCACATATGGTAGGCAAAAAATAAACACCTCCCATTGGCATATGGGATTTCCAGGACTGCATCCGTCTCTTTCTCATCCCTTACGTCGAAATATGCATAGTAGACTGCAAAAGAAAAAATAACTAATGAAGTAGTAACTACTTGAAACAGTACAAATTAAAAGATATTTTCATTCTGTATTATTCTACAAATGCAGACCTCCTTGGAAAGCCTTTTTTGGACCGGATTTTTCTAATGGACTTTTGTATCGGGATACCTCAAAATTAACGTTTGCCCATCCACAATCATCGCCATTTTCAAAATCACAGGATATACTTTCCACTATAAGATACATGAAACATGAATAAGAACTTGTTCCAAATAAAGCTCATTATATAATTGTAAAAGCTGTCATATAATATATTGTGTTCATTTCGAAGGTGTTATTTAGATAGTGGAAAATGTATAGCTGAAGGAAATTATTTCTGAAACAAGAATCTCCTTTTCACACCCAGATATACTTTATATATAGACAGTGCCAAATTAATATATCATGGATTATACTAATGACGTAAAATAGTTTACCTTCCTGGGCAAACGACATTTTTATATTAAAAATCACGCGTTTCTTTTTAAATGTTTATGTTATATCCACCGAATATTTTCATGAAAAATCTGGTAAAATTGACAGTTGCATAAATAATTCAGGTTTAGCAGTCATTATTATAAACATTGTGTCATAAAATGATAGACATAAAATGATCGTTTTCTCAGTTCATGATTGGATTCCGTGAGAATCCATGATAAGGTGCCGGAGACTTTCGAAAAAAATGTTGCCTTAAACACTTGATTGAAGTGTCAATAAATGAATAAATGAGATTGGTATAATTCATGTGCATTAAAATCAAATAATCTTAGTTGATTTGATTTGATAATCCTTACTAGTATGCTACACGAAAAAGGGGATCGGAATTTGACTGATAACCAACATATTGTGCAAAATTATTAACTGATTACCGTCTTCCTTGGAAGACGGTATACAGAATTGAAGTATTTTACAGTCTTCAGACTATGCACTTCCTCTCTTTTGTTATTGGTAGAAATTACATGATGTGAAAATTTCCAGTTATTTAATTGGTTAAAATGTTGTTCAGGGCAAGGGAGATACTTTTCTGGTGATCTAATTTTTGTACGAGTCAACAATTTTTCAAGATTTTCAATCTTTAAAAAAATTGACAAAACGAACAGTTGAAAATGGCCAAAAATAAATCTAAAAAAACACTTTAATTTTTTAATAGTAATGACTAAAAGGAGTTTCTTTATTTTCATTGTAAACAGAAATTTTCTTTATTGCTTGTCAGCTTTTTAGCTTGTATTTATTCTTTTTCTTTGTTTTGCACTGTCTTTCTAATCCCTCGGCTTTCTCCGTAAACTCCTACCAGCAGCGGAGTCGAAGTTTACGGAGAAAGCCGAGCGTCTTGTTGAACTTTCACATGGTAGGGCTTATGTCAGTAAAATGTTGATGAAGAAATCCTCAAGAATAAAATGGCCTGATAGGTGTATCCCAGTTTACTGTTTAAGGTTGTTGCTAAAGACGGCCAAGCTTTTTGAAAAAGCTCTACTTGTAATATTAAGTTGTCAGTGCGTTTGGTGTCTGATTAAATTGCTGCCCGGACTTACAGGAATTTTGTCTTGTCTGACAGATTTTACGATCTCAACCGAACTGTCCTTGGTACCTCTTGGTATATACTAGTATACAAATTTTCATAAACCGATATCTTTCGACTACAAGTTACGTTAAATCCACAAGAGTCGGGTATTACATGTACACGTAAAAACGTTTTAATGGACTTAATATATGTGTATATGTGTAAATTATATATTCAAATTTGGTCGCCCGCGTGGCGCAGTGGTTAGAGTGTCTGCTCTAGAGTCGCGAAGTAAGGAGTTGATCCTTACGTCGCGGGTTCGAATCCCACTGTGGGACGTGGAGACGGGTCCTTCGGATGAGACCGTATAAACCGAGGTCCCGTGGCGCAGTAGGGGCTGGCACGAAAAAGATCCCTCACTGCTCAATGGCCGTAAGTGCCGAATATAGGACAAAATTTGCAGCTCTCCACCGGCAAGTGGTGGCGTCTCCATATGAGTGAAAAATTTTCGAGAGGGACGTTAAACAGCATACAAACAAACAATATATTCAAATTTCTTTTATACAAAATTGAAATATAGAGTTGTATCATTTTGTTGTCCACTTTTCAAATGGTCACTGTAGAAGTAGTACGACTAGTAACGTGTAGGTTTATTTTTTATTATTAGCAAGTTTATTACCATGTTCAAGTATTATTATTCAATGTCTGTGTCTTGACCTATTAAACAAGGAGAGGGTGTACATAGGCTTTGCCTATTGCCCAATCCTTATTAAATTACTCAATAAAATATGTTAAAAGTAACATTTAGGTATTATGCATTGCACTGTGTGATTGTATGATATTTAAGAAATACATGTATTTATATTTGTATTATTGTTTTACATATGAATTAACACACTAAAAGCTCGTATGTTCAATAATAATATATAAAGTTATCAGGGATTAGAAGTTATGACTTGATCATATCACACATATATAGCAATGACATCTAAGTGTAATCTTTAGAACAACGTCATTGCAGTAATATGAATGTATATATGTGTAATAAATTCTGTATAAACTTATTCGGGAGACATAGACCATGACGAGATGGAATCGCACAGTACAATGATATCTACTTGAAACTATAAACATGTGAGCTGTTTAAAAATTTGGCAACAAAATGAAACACAATATTCCATTTCAATCTCCTCAAAGAAAAGTTGAATGTAAAATTTATACATACGACGGTTGCCAAGAAAGTTTGTATTTTTTTATCAAAGTCCATTGATTTAAAAAAAAAATTAATCATTCTGTTTTGAAGAAAAAAGGCACAATTTTATTCATGCAGGTAAAACACCTTTGAAATGATTATAACAGATATATTATTCATCTTTACATGTCACCCATGTATTCAGTCGGCAGTTTTTAGATCATAGGGATTCAAGTTTCTCTAAAAATTGAAACTATGTTTATTTATTTATTGAATAACTAGAAATCTGTGGATTAAATCATGGTTGACCTTGAATTGATCAGTATTAAGGATTACCTGACCATTTTTGAATCATTCACATATGAAGGCAAAAGTGGTAATTATCTGTTTCGTTTTAGCCCACCTGAGCCGAAGGCTCAAGTGAGTCTTTCTGATCGAAATTTGTCCGTTGTCTGTTGTTGTCATTGTTAACTTTTCACAATTTCATCTTTTTCTCCGGAACCACTGAGCCAATTTAAACCAAATTTGGCAAAGAGTATCCTTGGGTGAAAGGAAATCAAGTTTGTTTAAATGAAGGACCATGTCCTCTTCAAAGGGGAGATAATTAGAAATTAGTAAAAATTAATGGCATCTTTTAAAAATCTTTTTCTCAAGAACCACTGGACCAGGAAAAATTAAACTGAAGTGGAATCATTCTCAGGTAGTGCAGATTCAAATTTGTTCAAATCATGACCCCTGGGGGTAGGGTGAAGCCACGATGGACGATGAAAGTTTAACATAGAAAAAAATAGGAATAATCTTTAAAAATCTTCTTCTAAAGAAGAGCAAAGCCATGATTGGTCATATTTTTCTGGAGGCATCCTTAGGTGGTGTAAATTCAAGTTTGTTTAAATCATGCCCCCCCCCCCCCGGGGGGTAGGGTGGGGTCAAAACGGACAATAAAAATTTTACATATTAGTAGGGATGTCAAATCGGTCAATTTTTGATAATCGGTTACTCGGACGTTTTTCCGATCGAGTACCCGGGTACTCGGTAAAGATGTAAATACAAGTGTGTTAATTTTCTTGAGCCCCATTAAATTCCATTAAACCCCAAAGCTGTTTTTATCACGTTTATTAATGTATATAAACATCGATTTCAACGTAAATGCTTTTTGGTACTAAATGTATTTATCAAACAAACACAAAATACACAGTCAATTAATACATCAAAAATTACAAATGGTTTAAGGTTCTTGTTTAGGATTTATTTCATCAAAAGGAGGACAATCGCAGGTTTGTTATTACTAGACTAGCCAAAGAGAAGGAACGGACGTTGTCGGGATTGCTAGTCTAATATTCTGGTAAGTTTAGTGTATACGGGGGAAACAATTTCATATGTTGATTGTTTCCCCCGTAGACACTAAACTTGATACGCAAACTGACTTTCAACATTTATTTTGAATCTTTAGTTATTTCTGAATATTTCTTCACTTTTGAAGTGGGTAGTGGCATTTCTTTGCATGTCCGATTTCACTGCGTATATTAACTAAATAATTTTAAAATGATTTAAAGATAACAGACCATCGATGTTCACTGAAAACAATCAATGAAGCCATCCAAAAATTAAGGACCACAATAGATGAGAACAGCTGGGTGATTGATCACTAATTACTGTATATACACAGCCACAGGCGATAATGGGTGTTTTACTGGTGTAGAAGGCTACACGCTATAATTACCGTATGCATATTTAAGTTAATTTTTGATAAGTTTTTGATAAAAATAAGTACTTTGAAATAAGAAAAAATACACATCCGAGTAACCGAGTACCATTTTTAGTATTCGATACTCTGACGTTCGATCGAGTACCCGGTTAACCGGGTACTCGTTGACATCCCTACATATTAGTACATAAGAAAAATCTTTAAAAATCTTCTTCGCAAGAACAGCAAAGCCATAAATGGTCATATTTGTATGGAAGCATCCTCAGATAGTGTAGATTCAGATTTGTTCAAATCATGACCCTTGGGGGGAGATTGGAACCATAATGAAAGTTCAAACTTGTAGGAAGAAAAGCCACGGTTAGTCAAAGAGATATGTAAGCATTATTAGTTAGTGTAGATTCAATTTTGTTTGAATCAACCTCCCCTTTAGGGGTAGGTCGGCACCACTTATGCATTTAAGCTTTTCAATACTGAACTGAATTTTTGCTTTTTTTTCCTAGCCACAGTACTCAGGTGAGCAATGTGGCCCATGGGCCTCTTGTTTCAATTTTCCTACCTTCGTTAAAATTTCAAATTAACAAGGTAAGAACGATTTTTTTGGTAATTGGAATTTTTTTAAAAATATTTTTTGGTTTAAATCTCTCTTTTGACTGTCCGCTATATGATATACTTTTAAGTAAACTCTTTGTTTATGACTTGTTTCTATTTTGGCTAGCTACTTGTCTAAACGTTTTCAGCAAGTGATCATGAAACTTCAGTTTGGTATAAAAGTAAAAGAGCATGTGCCACAAAGCTCTATTCTTTATTTTTTTAATGTTTTCATGAATGATATTTTTATTTCATAAAGAATGGATCTTTATATAATTATTCCGATGAAAATACAGTGGCTTATTGACATACGGATTTTGACACTTTGAAAGATGATATTTCAGTATTATTTAAATAGTTTAAAGAAAACTGTATGCAGCCTAATCCATCCAAGTTTCAGCCAGTTGCCTTAAGTACAAAAAGAATCGCAAAAAACAGTTTTTAGGATCGATGGTGTGGAAATTGTGCAAAGAAACTGTTAAACTATGGGGGTGGGGTAATTGATTTTATGCTTTAATTTGAATAATATATAATAATAATAATAATATTTGCAAATATTTTAAAACGCATCGCTAAAGTTTTAACTAGGGCAAACAACGTTACCCTGTTTTATAGATTTATTTATTCTGTCAAATTTCAAATTTTGTCCCTTTGTTTGCCACTTCTGTTCAAAGAAAAACACAAAGAAAATTGAAAGAATTCAGGAATGTGTTTTACGTTAACTTCCATTTCCGAAAACTGGGAAGTAGCTGCGAAACATTGATACACAAAGCAAAATTACCTTTCTTAGCAGTTAGAAGCATGGAAGAAGTTAGAAGTATGGCCGTTGATTGTTTTGAAATTCTACATGACCTATCTCCTAGATGTTTGTCAGTTAACGTTAGTTTAAGAAATTCAATTACAATTTTAGACATTTATTTATTTATTTATTATTCTTTAAAAAGAAATTCAAAAGTCAAAACCTCTCGTATGATAAAATGTCTTTTAGATATGGAACTCACCTCGTATGAAACTTTTAAACTTTTAAATGTCAATCAATTTATTTTACAGTTTAAATCCATAATAGCCTCTTGGGACGGCAAGGACTGTGAGTGCACAACCACCTCCAGTAGGTGAGATCTGTAATCTGTATGTTTGTACATGTATGTCTTAACGTATCTTTAAAATTTAACTCTTACTGATCTATCTTTTAATGTGACTGTGTGTTGTATGTTTTTATTGTTCTACTGTTATGTATATGTCACTTATTCATTAGAGCTTGTATTGCCTTTTAGCTGCCATGTTGACTTTAAACAAGATGTGTTTGTGAAACACTGATGCCCCCGTATGGTAACTTACAGCAAAGGTTAAACTTTCTCAAATGCAAATCAAATGTTGGTACCCAAAGTAAGGTCTTGTCTCAAGGAATATACCTGTGAAATATGAATGTCCTAGCAGCAACCATTGAATAGATATAGAAAAGGTTAAAGTTTTTCGAAAGTAAGTCAAACATCAAGGTCAAGGTCAAATGGTCAAAATTAATGGTGCCTAAGGAAAGGCCTTCTCACAAGAAATATACAAGAAATATACAGGTGAAACATGAAAACTGAAGCACCAATCGTTCAAAAGTTATGACCAAGGTTTAAGTTTTTTTAAAGTAGGTCAAACTCCAAGGTCAAATTTCAATTGTTGGTATGTAAAAGAAAGGTCTTGTCACAAGGATTACATATGTGAAGTATGAAAGTTTTAGCACCAACGGTTCAAAAGTTATGGCCAATGTTAATGTTTTTTTCAAAAGTAGGTCAAACTCCAAGGTCAAGGTCAAAGGGTCAAAGTTGTTGGTATCCAAAGGAAGGACATGTCACACGAACTACACATGTGAAGTATGAAAGCCCTAGCACCAATTGTTCAAAAGTTAGGGCCAAGGTTAAAGTTGGATAAACTTTTGCAAAACTGGGTCAAACTCCAAGGTCAAGGTCAAATGTCAAATATGGTAGTACCCAAAGAGAGAATACACATGTGAAATATGAAAGCCATAGCTCCAACCAATCAAAAGTTATGGGCAATGTTAAAGTTTTTGCGGAGAAACAGACAAACAGACAGACAGACAGACAGACGGACGGACAGGGCAAAAACTATATACCCCCGAATCTTCGATACGGGGGCATAATAAAGCTTACCTATCTATCTCATCCCTGTAACGTTGGAAGATTATATGACATGCTCCGAAGTCAGTTGCACTTTGACAGTAAACAGTAATTCAAGTCAAGTATATCAAGTAGATTTCAAAGAAATAAAAAAAAAAATAATAGTATTGTGTCTCATTTTGTTTCCGACTTATAAAATGATAATGTAATTCCATATCTATATCATTGAGCCATGAACTACGGCCCTTCAATAAGATAAATACAGAATTGAATAAATCAACGTTTGGTATGTTTATATAGCAGAAATATGCCACAATTGAATTATATTTTTTTTTCCTACCAAATTCTTTCTGATTAGTGAAGTCCTGGTCAGAATGCAGTGCTAGTGCTTTTTGCAAAATTCTTCTGTCCATATTTTTGCCTTTTTATTATTATTTTTTCTTTTTACTTTTTTTTTTTTTTTACTTTTTTACAACCCATTCTCCTCATTCTTCTGTTATACTTCAATGAGCAAATCACAACTTTATAAGAAAAAAAGCGTATTGATACGAAAAAAAATACAATCAATTCATAATTAATTTAGTTAAAATTCGTTACTGGATGATTGCATATTTCAGTCCAATCAATTATGAAAATTACATACCTTTTCGAAAAGTATTAAAACTTATAGTGAAAAACAAAATAGCAGTCGTCCAAACATCCATTTTAAACAGACGTGAGATGCAGTCGGGCATTTCTTTTATGCTTTAAAGTAAATTTTATCAGAATACAAGTGATCAATGACCAGGAAGTAGAAACCTTCTGTCTACCTGTCTTTGTGTTCTAGTATTGTAATGTGTCTATGTATGAAGAGAATTCTCCCTTACCGTGTAATTTAATATCAGAGGACTCATTGTATAGATTCTAAATAGCTAGAGGGTTATTATATGTTAACTTTTATAAATAATACTATAATTGAATTGATTACATATATATGGATGGCGTTACCTTTTAAGACTTTCAACTATAGCTATTTAATCAGCTTTTTTTAATGCTCTGATCATGATATACATTTATGTATCATCTAAGTCTGTTACAGCATATAAATCTTTAAAGGGAACTTGAGAAACAATACATACTATACACTGTTAAAACATTTAAGTACAAAATAAATTCTGAAATATCAACATGGGATCCCACTATGATTCTACAACAAGATGCCCATGGGCCATATCTCTCACCGGAGCACTTTTGCTAGACGAAGAAGAAATTATTTCAGTATTGAAAAGTTTAAATATATAGGTCTTCACACCCTAACCTCTCCTCCCCACCCACCGGGGGGGGGGGGGCAGGAGAGGGGTAATGATTTTGACAAACTTGAAACTAAACTAACTGAGGATATTCCGTATACATGTGTATAATTTTTTTGCAGATTTTCTCTTTTATATTCCCATGTAAAAGTTTGATCTAATGTGACCTCGCCCTACCACCAGGGATCATGTTTTCAACAAATTTAAATCTACACTACCTGAAGTTATTTCCATATAAATATGACTAATTATGTCTTTGCTCTTCTCGAGAAGCATTTTTTCTATATATTCCTATATAAAACTTTAATGCCTTATTATGGTCCCGCTCTAACTCCAGGGATCATGATATGAACAGACTTGAATCCTCGCTATGTAATGAAGGTTTTACATAAGTTTCATCTTTTCTGGCCCATTGGTAATTGAGAAGAAGATTTTCAAAAGAAGCTATTCACTTTTCACAATTTTAAATATCTCCCTTTGGAAGAGGATGTGGCCCTTCATTTGAATAAATTTAGATCCCCTTTATCCAAAGATGCTTTGTGGCAAGTTTGGTTGAAATTGGCCCGATGGTTCTTGAGAAGTCGAAAATATGTAAAGTTTACAGTGGACAGACGACGGACGACAGATGCCAAACGACAGACGGACGCCGGACATCCTTTGATCAGAAAAGCTTGCTTGAGCCTACTGTTCAGGTGAGCTAAAAATTGGATAGTGACCAGTAGCGAACTAATATAAACCTAAGCTCAAAAAGAAAAGGAGAAAGCTAGACATATACATGTATACACGTACGTTTGTATATACACTTTAAATTACAGACTGTTTGATTTTATATATATATATATATATATATATATATATATATATATATATATATATATATATATATATATATATATATATATATATATATATATATATATATATATATATATATATATAATAATAATAATAATAATCATAATCATAATAATAGTGTAATAGGTTTTGTCTGTCGTGTCCTGCCATCTCATCAATAGCATTTTGTACGTAGTGGGCTTTGTACCCACTGTTGCATAAATGGGACTTTAGGAGACTGCTCTGTTCCTGATATAAGGCAGGGGATGAACAGGTGCGACGAATTCTGGTAGCCAGACCTTTAGGCACACCCTCAAATGTGTGTGGGGGATGACAGCTAGTCGTCATTAGATACAGGTGGGAATCGGTGGCTTTCGTGTGGTGACTAAACTCGATTTCGGAATCAATCAGGGTAGATGTAGTAGTATCTAAGAATATGTTTTTGGAATTAGATACGTCTACAGTAAATTTGATAAACTGATGGAAGGTGTTTTTGTTTGTTTTATTTTTTCATGACTTTTTAACATTTTCTATGTCCTGAGGAAGGGACAGGGCGTCCCAAAAATTTGAGAATTTCTATTGGTCATTTTTAGTGCGTGATATAAATTTCCATCCTTGACCTTGTATCTATTTAGTAGATCCGACTCTCTCCCTCTCTATATATATATATATAATATATATATATATATATATATATAATATATATATATATATATATATATATATATATATATATATATATATATATATATATATATATATATATATATATATATATATATATATATATATATATATATATATATATATATATATATATAATACACGTAAATCATTTTAATAAAAAATGAGATAAGTTCTAAATGATAGAAAATGTCTAAGAAGCGGTTTCCAAAAAATGTAACCAATTTATTTTTTTAAAAACATTCCGTTTAAAATATCAGTAAAGAAGACGTTTTTGTAACAATGATATTCTTCATTTTATCATCTTTCCAAAAGAGGTGAGATTTCAAATTAAACAAAATCTTATGTTCATTCATCACTCCAGACTAACCATTCTCTGTCAAAAGTAAATAACCTTCGTTATATAAGACCACCTATGTTATAAGACACTATAAATGTTCTTTTATGTAATTTTTATAATTAGGTTACATGCCACACAAATAATTCTCGATTACTTAACTTTTCTCACGTTTTTGACATCATAAATGAGTCAATATCGGGGATTCTACTTGTAGGTCAGGAATATGTAGCTTTTAAATGGAGGTTCGCGATATCTTTAATGAAATGTGTAGGAATCTTAGGCTCCATTAGAATTGAGGACTTGTTAAACATGGATTACATGGCGATACAAGAGATGTAGTAAAACGCAAACCTTATCAATTTATTGTCGGAATAAAAAAATTAAAGGCAGGTACTTCCTCAGCACTTCAAAGTCATTATAAATAAGTAAGGAAATAGGAGTTTCTTCATTTTAGGAAAGAAAATCAAGAATTACCACTTGCTGAATTAAATCATAGCTCCTCTGTAATACATTTTAAACAAACAAAATTGTGAAGAGTTTATATCAGTCTTTCAATGGCGAAATGATATTAAAAGAGATGCCTCTACTTTAATTTATCATATACTAGTATTTTTATGTGTTTAGCTCGATTTAGATTTTAGTTTTTCATCCTATTATCTATCTTTAAGGTATATTTTTCTTCTCTTAAGAAAATGATAATGAATTCAATAATTAAGTGACGAAAAAAAAAATAAATTCAATAATTAACTAAAGAAAAAAAAGTTGGGGGTTATTGAACAGCACATATTTGTAATTGGGATAGAAATGAGATTTCTTTTTGGAAGTTTACTGACATGCTGACGCATTTTGACTGCAAAAATATTAAGGATGTGTTTAGATCGGCTTACAATTTAGTTTTCCATCCTATTATCTATCTTTAGGGTATATTTTTCTGCTTTAAAGAATTTTTTTGATATAAATAAAAAGACTATTGTACACTTATTCACATATTATCATGATAATAAATCTAATTAATTTTTCAAAAACATTTCGTTTAATATATCGATGAAGACGTGTTTGTAACAATGATATTCATCATTTATATTTCCAAAAGAGAGAAGATTTCAATTTAAACAAAAGCTTGTGTTCATTCATCACTCCAGACTGACTATTCTCTGTCAAAAATGACAGCCTTCACTATAAAAGACCACTTGCGTAACAAGACACCATTAATTTTCTTTTTTGTAATTTTTCGGTTACATTCCACACAAATAATCATAGATTACTTAACTTTTCTCACGTTATTGACATCATAAATGAGTCAATATTGAGGATTCTACTTGATGATCAAGAAATTGAAGCTTTTAATTGGAGATTCACGATATGAAACGTTGTTGAATCTCAGACTCCTTTAGAATTGAGGACTTGTTACACACGGATTACATGACATGGTCACTGCCTGGTGGAAGACATTGAAGGCAAAGAATTAGTATGATACAAGAGATATAGTAAAACATCAACCTTATCAAGTCATTGTTGATGTTATTGATTTTGATAAAGGTTTGTGACTTCAAATTTTCAAATAGTTCCTTGGAGTTTTTAAGTATCCACATTTGATTTACACCACTTCTCGTATATATTGTATAGAACTCCTGAAGTTTTTCCTTCATTGCTGTTAATATTTTAATGAGGAGGAAAGAAAGAGGCTTGGTAGAACATTTTCTTTAACCCGCTATGCATCTTTGTCTGTAAGATTTTTATGTAGTTAAGGAATCCAGTATAAGTAAGGTAATTCAAATTCAATTTGATTGTTGGGAATATCAAAAATATTTTTAATATTTAAAATGTGATTTTGAAGAATTTGCTTCTTAGAAAGGAAGCTATGGGTATAGGTTGGATTACCACTTGCAAAATTAAATCTCAGCTCCTCTAAAATACATTTTCGTCATACAAAATAGTGAAGAGTTTATATTAGTCTTCCAATGGCGAAATGATATTAAAAGAGTTGCCCCTACTTTAATTCATCAAATATTTTTTTATGTTTAGCTCGGCTTAAATTTTAGTTTTCCATTCTATTATCTATCTTTAAGGTATATTTTTTAGCTTTAAAGAATTTTGTTGAGATAAATAAGATTATTGCACACTTACATATTATCATGATAATGAATCCAAAAATTAACTGACCGCACGAAAAAAAAGGAGGGGGGTTGACGGAATCATTTTTGTAACCAGTATGAAAAAAATCAGGGTTTTTTTTTGAAAATTTACTTACATACTGATGCATTTTGACTGCAAAAGTATTAAGGTATGTGAAACAATTTTCATTTTTCAATAATGAAGGCAAAGATTTCAGAATGCATCACTGATTCATTGCCTGTTTTATCAACACTACATGCGTGCATGATATCGACTTTGCTAAATTTAATGTTGTGTAAATCTTTTTTTTTTGGTTCGTTTCGTAGTCAAGTAAAATACAGCATAATTGAACTTTTCCAGAAAAACATTTTGATATCCTTTATGAAATTAAACAGAATTAAGACATACAAAAAAATATTGAATTTCAAGAAATCTTTCTTTTTCATGAATGATCCTCTTTTGTAACTATTGATCATTGTAATTTTTCAATTTCGACCGCACTCAGTAACTGAATGTTATTATATGTACAGAAACCAATATCATTATCAGGATTTAATTATTAGAAAAGAGCAATTCACTGTCACATTTATTACTATTACTCTAATTTCAGAGTCATAAACGTCAGCCCTACCTGTTGTAGTCATATACATCTACCCTACCTGTTGAAAAAAAGATAATCGTTTCATAAATAAAATCATAATGAAAAACGATCTTTGTTTTTGTTTTATTTCCATTGCGTATTCCGCCATTTTGAACTACCGTCGCTTATATCATATACAAGAACTGTCGAGGTTTCTTGCAAAACATCACGCGGCTTGATATTACGACAAAATTATCTCTGAATTTAAGAATGTGTTTGGTCATGGAACTGTCGTTTTAGTAAAACATTACATTTTTAAAACCAACACATATTTTTGTTTTGCAAATGAAATAAATAATTTACTACTAAGAAGTTTTGTTCAGTGTAGACCTAAGTCTCTTTGAGGAACATGGTGATTCATATCTGAACTCATTCGAGGAATTTTTCAGGAGGTAATATATATCCAAATAACATGATAATGCATTTAAAATTATATACCATTAATATCTTTACAGCTGAATGTCATATAATTTTACAAGAAATCAAAGCTAACAAATATATATTTAGTTTGTTTTTAAATAATATCAAATTTATAACAGGAATTATTCTATTTTAAGGGAGAGTAAAGCAAAGTTCCTCCATATCACCATAAACATGTTGTAAAGGAAGTGGAATCCTCTAGAAATGCAACCATAACTCTTTCTCTTAATAAAAAATAATGAAGATAACGAACAGTGATCGATCTTAAATCTTCAAGCAATAGAAATCTGTGAACAGGACATAAAAACAAGGATTTAGTGGTGAGATCGGGCGCCTATCTACGACCCAATGATAGGTATATTTGCTAACAAGGTCATTATAACGACCCATAGAATTTACGAAAGATTGATTTTAAAGGAGAAATCTCAGTAAAATTTACTTATCTGTCAGTAGCCTGTCTCATTTCAAAAATTGGTAGTACTCAGAGCATGTTCTTGAGAATCGAATACGTTGGGAGGCGTAAACCCCCTATGGAGGTGATAGCGGAATATTACTACATAAATAAGAAAAGTGAACGATGGAAAAGATGAAGTCATCTCGTTTTTCAATTAGTTGTTAACTGGCCCTTATCGTCTGTAGTCAGTAAAATATCCAAATGAAACAGATGTGCAGACGTTGGTGTGTCTATTATTTCAAGTTCACTGGGATATATCGGGTCGACATGTGAATGGAATTAACTATTGTTAATTGATAAAACGTCGTCGATATATCTGGATGTCGAGTTGAAGGCGACAGCATGTGTTTTCTTCTTCTTCTGATTCAGAAGTTAAATAAATAATGCTTCAAAGGTCGGCTAATAAAGGAGCACAGTTAGTACCAATCGCATTCCAACAGTTTGTTGGAAGACCTGGTCTTCGAAGACTACATAAATGTTTTCATGAGGAACTCTCATCATCTTAATATCAACTTCACAGTACTTGTATGTTGAATCAACGTGATTTTTTTAACAAAGGTATTTTTTTTTATGACCAAACAAAGATACAAAAGTATCCAATTTACATTTTTATTGATGAAGCAGTTGTGTATGATATATTTTCATACTAAAATGCAGAAAACTTGAAAAAAGCATTCAATTTTCAATAACACAGATACAAACCCTATCACCAGTTTTAGATAGCGTATTTCAATACTTTTTTTCCATTTCATACCTTTACTATACTTTTACCCAA